AGAGAGAGAGAGAGAGAGAGAGAGAGAGAGAGGGGTCAGGTTGGTTTTTTTACTTGCTGGGTACAGATTTTTTAGGAAACAAATTATGTTTAAGAGAAGTAAAAGCCTTGCTTGGTCAGTTGACAAAATGATTCTTTTAGGCCATATATTTTTGGTAATAAGTTTGAAAGCTGTTTCTGATGCAGACATTCTCTGCTTCTTCTGGAACATTCCTTTAGCTCACAAGGGGATTGTGCTTTTTGGTAACCGATGGGATAAAGCTGCTAATCATTCTTTAAAAGCTTTCCTCTAGCCAAAACTTAAGCAGCACAGACACCCTTACAGATTCTAGCAATGTATTTGTTTTTTCAGAGAGTTGATTTCTTTTAAGTGTTATTCTTGTCCTATAACAAGCCCACTCCCAGATCTACTAAAGCAACTTATCTCAGTAAGAGGCCATCCAATGGTAAGAACCCATTTGGTACAGCTACAGGAATCACCTACAAATGCTGTTTACTCAGTGTTCACTGGTTTCCTGTCTACAGTCACCCATTCTCCTTTTAACATCATGTGTTCTCCTCCCAAACCCTGAAGCTACCGTTTTCACCTGACCCCCAATGATCAATGTTCCTCAAACCCAGGAAATTTACTGCAGTCACAGTGGTGAATCATATTTCTCGTGATTTGGGAGCAATGAGAGAAGAGTATCTACGTACTTTGTCTATACCACTCTTTTTTCTGACAAAATTCCCTTTGTTAACACTGGCCCGGGTACCCCAGTGGGACAGGAACAGTCAGCATGCTAGCGTACAACGATGTCAGTGTTTTCACTACGACTTGCTCTGAGCCACACTGCTAGGTATCTGGAAGAAGGAGGGCTGCTGGGAGCCTGGACCCCGTGTGACGATGGCCTCAACAGGACAATGTGTAGGATCTCCCGTAGAAAGGAATGATCTGAGCTAATACTTTTTCATTCCAAACTGGCCTCAATTTGGTAGCCCACCCATTAATTATTAATTAAAGGAACAATAATCTAAGATACTCACTGCATTCCGAAATGCAGACCCGAGGGATGAAAATGTAAGGCCTTCCCATTAGGTATCCTTGCTGAGAAGCTGAAAAAGAAAAAAATGATGAATATTTTGTTGACATGCTATTTTGAAACTGAGGCAGACTACTACCTAAAATGCACATTTGTCTTGTTATTGAGCTAACACTGAAGTGCTCTCCTAACTTTACATCTCAAGCACACTGTTCCATGGCTTTTCATACATTCCTCTGTAGAGCTGCACTATTCACACTTTTATAAGATTTCTATGGTGTGGAATATACTGGCAATCACTACAAGTGAAATTATGACTCAGGTTCAATTATTTCTTATGTGCAGAAGAGAATTTGGATGAAATCACCACAAGGACTGTAACACCATGCTTACATTATCCACAATTATTTCCAATAGCAAATCCTAGGTTTACAGATACTGCTTTAGCATCTCTTCTCCAAAGGTGTATTGAAGAAATAATGGAGTAACATATGTTTCAGTTGTCCCTTTACTCTTCTCTGCACTAGGGAAGTTTACAAAAAAATTCCCACCATTTCTCACATATCTTCAGCTGCAGGTTACAGCCCTACTGTAGACAAGGATTCCAGGTCTGGACCCATTATCATCACTGTTTAAACTTTTCAACAAGATTAAACATGGTAGTGAAAACAAGTATGGACCCCAGAACCTTGTCTATAATAGGTATGCACCCAGTGTTAAATATGTTTTAGAAAAGTTCCTTACTGTTGATGCGGCCGATTGACTACATTTATACTCATGTAGAGTGCAGACACTGCGCCCCTACCCTCCTGCAAGCATGGTATAAATAGCAGTGTAGATGGTGCTGCTTAGGCCAATAAAAACCTTTGGGTACATACCCTACATAGCTCTCTGCATGCGCCTCTCATGTCTACACCATTATTTTTAACAGTGTAGTATCCCACTGTGGGAAACTTTCCACGCCACAGTGAAAGACGCCGGCAGTGGGGAAAAGCTCTGGCAGGGGGCAGACAGCCAGGAAGGTTCCAGCAGCTCCCTGTGTTGGGAATGGCAGGTGCATTCACTGCCATGCTTAGCTACACATTACAGTGTAGCCACAGCCTGCTTTTCACTGCAGTGTGTAGCTACACATACCCTAAATGCCTAGAAAAGGCCTTTGTGTCATAGCCAGTGACCAGGTTCAGCAATATAGGGCAAAAGGCAGATACTTCGCAGAGGGTGCAGCTAGAGAAAGAGTAGCATCAGTCTGAAGATATCAAATACCTGAAATGGTCCTGAAAATTATGTGATTTTAATTGTTGCAGTTTTGAAATAGGTTGGGATTAAAGATGGAAATTTGCAAATAGTATCCTCATCAGAATCAATATTTATTATTTGTATCACAGTAGCACACAAAGTGATAGGGGACTTACTGTGTTACAAGCTGTACAAATAAACAGAAAGACACTTAGATTTCAAACAAGGTGCATCAGGTGAGTAACAAACAGTAGTAGGGAAGGAGGCGGAAGAATGGAGTTATTGATAACAATATGACATTGTTACATAGGTTTGCTAGGTCCACACCTTCATGGTTCAAGAAGTTTAATCTAAATAAATACGAGCTATCCTTGACTGCTATTCAGCCTAAACATCATTAACAGCCTTGAGAAAGAGAGGACAGTGACCTTTTTAATTAGCTCAGGAAATGGATTTTATGGCACATGGTAGGACAGTTCATTGCTAACCTATTTCAAAATGCATTCTTGTAATGTTATTCTTGAATAATTTTATATATTTATTTGTTTCATTTTCCAAGAAACAAACAAAAAGAATCAATATTGGTAGGAAAGAGAATCAACAACATTGTTACAAGAACTCAACTTCAACTTAGTTAAACTCAAAACTACTATCATTTTTCTTGGCCCCTCTCTATATTTTTTATATATATATATATATATATATATATATAT